TTTTAATTGCTTGAATTCAAAATTTGTATATAATTAAAGATTATTACTCTATGCAGCCATGTAAGTATATTATGTACTAATTTAATTAAATAAGTCAAACATTTTTAATTAAAATTTATCATATATAGCATGAAATTTTAAAGTTATAATTACTTTAAGTATATGCTAAACTGAGATTTTTCTGGACAAGTGAGGAATCTATTTTATAAATACTAAGATAAGTGAACAATTTATGCTGGGAGTTGAACCTGGTTGTTTCAGTTTGTAGGGAGAAGGAATGTCAGCTTCCTGATTTTTATATTTAAAGCAATTTTTTTGGTTTTACTTCAGTGACTGCCTGAAGAGATCCTGTGAGCATGCTTAGGCTGGTTAGGCTTTCTCTGAAAATTACTTGTTTTGTGTTCTGATTCCAACTATTTAAATTATCTGCAGTACATTCAGAATTTTTCCCCCAATGGAAACTATTGATTCAATGTGCTCCTGTGTTTAGCAAATGCCTTTTTACAGATACAAATAAGATGAAAATTTTCATTTTCTAATTTACATCTAATTTATATTGATGCTATAATACTGTTAGTGAAAATTACTGAAATCATACCGAGGAGGTTATGCTAAATACAAAATTAATGATGGTTGGGCATCACATAAAATGTACTTATGCATCTTGATAATTGGATGTGATTCATAGTCTGCTAACATAATTGGATATAATACATTATACATTTCTCATATATTTGTACCCTTGTGATGCATACATAGAACTCAATACTCTTAACTGATATTTCTAAAATTGCAGAAGTTTCCCAGAACATGCAAACTACTCATAATTCAGTTATTTCAGTTAGGTAGATGAATGCTGCAGCTCTATAGTGTAGAACATGTGTGAAAACTAAGGCTTGTTTTTATTTACCGCAATGGTCAACAATAGTTTTACCCTGAATAAAGTCCTAAGATAATTGGTTCTTTTCAATAACGTTTCAGGCTACAAGATACAAAGTAATGATAAGCCATCTTTTATCTATGATTAAATAGCAAATTTTAATACTGATGTACCCTATTGTAGTAACTTAGCACTGAATATTTATTTTAATGTATCAAAAGTTTTAGCATAAGAGTATCAAGCTTATAATTTGAATAGAAAATATTCAGCAATCTTTGCCTTTAGATTATTTAGTGCCTTTGAAGGACAGATATTTTATGGCTTTTAAATATTAATCTTCAGGTAGTCAAAAATAGAGGATCAGACTGTATGTATTTTTGTCTAAAAGCAATAAATTGTTATGTTAGTACCAAGGAAAGGAGGAAAGAATTAACCCACTAGGCATCAGTGGCAAAATATAGTAAAAACCTAGATCTAAAATTAAGCTTCAATTCAACCAACCTAAGTTATATAATCACAAACACTGAAAAGAAATCTAATCATACCGTGTCATTTGGAGCATTAGAAAAATGGTTCTTTTTTCATCTATTCTCTATGGCAACTGGTGGCAGATTCCTTAAGCCAGTATTTATTTCTATGCTTAGTATTCCACCCATAAAACCATGTTGTTAACACAACATTTGCTGATAAAGAAGTTGCAGCACAAGAACCCTGGATATGTCCTTTAGCTATTTAACTGCTGTAATCACTGCATGATTACTGTAGGTGTCAAAATTTGGTGGGAACGGGTTGGAACTTTGAGGCAGTACTTTTTCTTTAAAAATTGTTTAGAGACATTTTCCTTAGTCTTGTGGGCTGTAACAGGTATGTGGCAGATATTTCATAGCTTGTGCTTAGAGAACATATTGCCAGATTTAAATGCTAATGAATTATAAACAATCTACTTATATTTTGTAGGTGGTTCTTGAGGAAAAGTCCAGGTTGTCTTCCTCTTATATCAGGCTAGTTAAATTTATATCAAGCTCCCTGACACTCCTGCTCCCACTGCAAGCTTTATCATACAATGGCCAAAAACATTTTGCCACTGACAGACTGCCTCTTGGACTTCTGAAAGCATCTTTGCTTCAGGCTTTAAGCCTAACACACTCCCCAGAGTCTATACACCATGATAATATTCTGTCAACTCATATATCCGTAAAACTCTTGTGGCTAGTTAATTTCATACCAGGGGAATGGCCCTTTCATGTATCCAGCCTCCAGGACAGTATTGCATTTCTGAATTCTTGCTTTCTGGAAAGTATACAGAAAATACTATAGTGATACTCCTGTGTTCTGTAATCAAATGCCTTATTGAATTTTTATGCCCAGCTCTAGAGATCCTAGTACTTAGTAAGCATCAGTATATTTTTAAAGAATGGTGATAAATTAATTATTTTTCCATTCAGTTTGCTTTAACAAAATGTTATAGGACACTACCTGAGTTAAGGCAGAAACTGGTATAAACAATGGACAACTATGGAAATTACATGTCAAAGATAGACACACTGAATTTCAAACATATCCACATTAGATATAACTCAAGGAGATAGAAAAATGGCAGGTAGAAATTCTAGAAGGAGGAAAAGGCATGTAGGCTGACTAATGTGCAGCATTCTCAAGAAACAAGAAGTAAAAATTTACCTAAACTGGGGCATAAGGAAGAAGAGACTACGGTGAGTAATTTAGAAACCATGCCTTATAATCCAGGAGGGATTTTTCTTAATTTGCTACTAAAAGCTGCTAAACTCTTTCTATTGTATTTTGTTTGCTTGTTGTTGTTGTTGCTGCTGCTGTTTCAGTGCAGAATGATTTGCTATACTCTGGGTTTTTAAAAAAAAATAAGTATGTCAGTAACAGGGAGGATTGACTGTAGCAGTGTGAAAGAAGTGGAAATACCAATTAGGATTAGTGTAGTAGGTAATGAAGGTCCACTTCCTGGAAGCAGTAGGGAGAGAAAGCAAAGAGAAGTCTCTGCAGAGGCAGAATGTATGAAATTTGGTCCTTAACTGAACATAGGGTAAAAGGGTGAGGGGCAGAAAAAAGATGACTCTCCAATTCTGAGCCTGGATTTCTGCTAGCACCAGTAACAGAACCAGGGAAATCAAAAAGACATCTAGTCAGGGTAAGTTCTACTTTAATATTTTAGAATAAAGATTCCTAATATGATGTTAAAACAGACAATTAGGTAAGTTGTTCTAATTGTCTGTCTTGGGTCAAGATCTGGCCTCTAAGAATTTCCAGAAACACAGTTACAGACATTCATTCTGAAACTGTAATAGGTAACAGTATCCATCCCATGTTAAAAACATACGGATAAATAGATATCCATGAAACCTCATCTCTACTGAAAATACAAAAGTTAGCTGGACATGGCAGTGCATGCCTATAATCCCAGCTACTTGGGAGGCTGAGGCAGGAGAATCGATTGAATCCAGGAAGTAGAGGCTGCAGTGAACCAAGATCGTTCCACTGTACTCCAGCCTGGATAACAAAGTGAGACTACATTTCAAGAAAAAGTTTTTAAAAAGTGGTATCCAAATATTTGTTATATAGATATATTTTTTATCTTCACCTCCAAAAATGCAGATATAAAACTTTTCAGTTTCCATGGAAATTTTTAGAGAGAGAGAGGGAGGGAGGGATAGAGAGGGAGACAGAGAGAGCCTGACTTTGTTACTCACACTGGAGTGCAGTGGTACAATCTTAGCTCATTGCAACCTCCACCTCCTGGATTCCAGGGATCCTCTTACGTCAGCCTCCTAGTAGCTGGGACCACAGGCATGCGTCATCATGCTTGACTAATTTGACTGATTTATGTTTTGTTTTGTTTTTTATAGAGACAGGGTCTCACCAGGTTGCCAAGGCCAGTCTCGAGCTCCTGGACTCAAACTATCCCCTTGCCTCAGCCTCCCAAAATGCTGGGATCACAAGCATGAGCCATTGTGCCTGTATCTGGCCTATGTAGTCTTTTTAAAGCATTGAGGATGTTTCTCTGAGTTTCTAATGAGCTCCATACCTCTACTAAATTCATACTTCTCAAACTGGGAGACAGTGATGGTGGACAAAGGGCAAAAGAAGACACAGACACAGGGCAATCACAAATCTCCATTTTCATGGAGGCTTGAGTTTTTACAAAGAGATTTGGGGAATCATAATCAAGTAAGATTATGTTATATTAATTCAGTATCACTACAAACAGCTAAATTGTGACATAGAAATCAAAATATATTTTAGTTTCTATGTGTAAAGCATAAGGTTTCAAAGAAATGTCTTGTTCATAACAGACTTCTTCCTGATCTGTCCTTGAGACGCAGCAGTAACTGCACTCCATTAGACAATCAGGGTACTTATAGAGGAAAAGTTTGAGCAATTTATTCCTAGACAGTAGCCATCTTTTTCTATACTATTAAGCTGTTACAAAATTATGTATTTACAGCAAGTATACTCATGAATGACAGTGGTAAAATAAAAAAATATATGCAACTAATTTTTGCTGTTTTCAGACCCTTTGTCTAGTTTCTTTTAAACTCTGGCATCATATTTATTCAAACAGAAACATATTTGAAACATAGACACTGAAATGTCAGGCATTATTCATGGGTCTACAAGTTCTATGTGAGGGACACATTGGGACTCCAGCCAAGGAAATCATCTCCCTTTCACAACACAGCTTTAAGAACTAAGCTAACTCCCTGTAGTGTGCATTGCTTGCTTAATGTGAGTTTTGACATTCACTTTAAGTTAGTATTCAACAACTTTCTTTAGAGGGAAGAATACAAGGGCTCAGAAAATGGTAGCCAGAGTATGGTGCTTTGGCATACTGAGTGCTTCGAACTAAAGAACATTGAAAGGCCTCAGAAGCAACCTGAAAACCAGGAACTCTTTGATCTCTTGCCCTCCTGTCTCTGGCCTCTTATTGTCCTCCCAAGTGAGTCATAGATATCAGAATTCCTCTTCACCAAGTTGGATCATAGTAAATAGCCCTTCTTTTCCCAAAAGCAAGCCAAAAAACTTAAAAATATTCTAAACTTCCCTTACCTTTTCATCTAGAAGCCAGCCATAGAGAAATTCTCTAACTTACCTTTGTCCTATAGTAGGTCTTAAGAACCACACTTCCAGAAAGGTCTTGACCCATACCCAGGAGGAATAAATGCTACAACATAGAGAACAAAAAGATTATGAACAGACAGCCCTTGCTACATTTCCCCACTCAGTCTATTACTATTAGATCATTCCCCATATGTCCAATCACATTTCTACACAATTGTCCACTCTTCATCAACTCTAAGCTTAAAAATAGTGTTCCTTTGGGTTTTTGGATCTGCATTTTGACGGTTCCTGCATCATGTAAAGCTTTGATTAAATAAATATGTTTTCCCCTTGTTAACCTGTCTTTTGTGGTAGAAGTTAAAAATGTTGGCCATGACCCTTATGATGGGGAGGAAGTTGTCACAAATTTCCACCCCTTGCAGGACTTGTGCAAACCAGTAAAGAAGAAGGACTGGCTGGGCGCAGTGGCTCACGCCTGTGATCCTAGCACTTTGGGAGGCCGAGGCGGGTGGATTACGAGGTCAAGAGGTCGAGACCATCCTGGCCAACATGGTGAAACCTGTCTCTACTAAAAATACAAAAAAATTAGCTGGGTGTGGTGGCACCCGCCTGTAGTCTCAGCTACTCGGGAGGCTGAGGCAGGAGAATTGCTTGAACCCAGGAGGCAGAGGTTGCAGTGAGCCAAGGTCGTGCCACTGCACTCCAGCCTAGCACCTGGTGACAGAGTGAGACTCTGCCTCAGAAAAAAAAAAAAAAAAGAAGGACCACAGGCTCATCTTAGGGGATATGGGCAATGGCATAGTATGTGTATAAAGTTCTAAGGCTGAAAACAATAATTCAGGTAAACAGGTTTCTAATTCCCATCAGCCCATGATTTCCAGGCCTCATACTATAAAGTTTATGATTAGGAGATTCTCCAACTTTCTCTAAAAATTTATTTCAGCTTCTTAAAATCCATATACAGTAAATGGCTCTCATATATAATTCAGCCTTAAGCTTCAACTCTATTATTCACACTTGTGAATTAAAAGTGAAAAATCTCTAAACAGTTTGTTCCAAGCCCACAAACAGGTCATTTATAAGCCATTTGTATTAACAATAAGGAATCTATTTTAGAGAAGAAAAGAAGACAACATTTATAATGGCCTTCCATGTTGCAGTCACCTTCCCTGGCCTATATGCCTATGCTGTCTTATTCATTTAAGGTATTCAGTATACATTTATTGAGCACCTATTGAATGCCAGATGCTGTGCTAGGTGTCAGTGAGTCACAGACGAGTAAGTCATTGGCCAGGAACTGTTCAGAGACAAAATATGAATACCAGCCATTAAAAATATAATTGCAGTACTATGAAATAACTGCAGGGTGATCAATATCCATAGAGCTTCTGCACTCACTACTGAGAGTACCTGTATTGTTTGTTGCCCATCCTGGATTGTTTTGTCTCATTTTCCATTTTAACAAGACATAATTACAAACCTGAATAGTCTAGAGAAGAGTGCTCCCTGAATCTATTAGATACATCTAAGATAGCACCAAGCAAAGATAATTGATGTGGGATTCAGAAAGAATTCCAGATTGCTCACCACTTGTGTGAGCTTGGGAAACTTACTTAGCCTCCTTGAGCTTCTTTTTTCTAATCAGTAAAGTGGAAATAATGGCTTTACCTCCCTGGGTTATTGTGAGGATTAAGAAAGATAATAATGGCTGCCATTTCTTAAGTGGCTCTTATCTGTGTGGCCCAGTGATAAGTGCTTTATGTCCTTTTTTAAATCTATAAAATTACCCTGCAAGGTAAGTCTGATTACTGAAACTGGGGCTAAAGGGAGATTAGATTTCACACTTCAGACCACACAACTCAAAGGTGATACAACTGAGATCTAAATATAAATATCTCTAGATCCAACTTGGAGAAATATGCTATCAGACTTTGCATCTTGTTCTAGGAGAGTTCTTGGGATATAGCAGGTACTCCAGACATACAGGTGGACTTACAATCTCATTTTTTGTAAATATCTGAAATATGATGAATATGCTTTATTTTATAGCATCATTTTTCTCTAATATCAACAATTAAAGGATTGTAAAGGCCAATTCTCTTGCATTTAAAATGTATAAAAAGAAAGTGTCTTTTGAAATTAGCTACTCAGGAGAGCATATTTCCTGTGCAGTTAGATTGGTGGTCCTCTAACTGTACAAGAGGATAGGGATGGGGATTCATATGCAGCTTCTAGAAATGTTATGTGATATTAATATGAATCCAAGGAAACATTATCATGCTCTTTATTGCAAGAGACACATAAAATATTTGCCAGCATGAATTCTATAGATACTCAGATATTGTCAATCAGAATGTATCTTTATTTAAGTAGAAAATCCACATGTTAGAATTTTCTCATTATTACACATTTTGAAAACCCAATTCTAAATTGAGTTTTCACAGAAGTCAATGTATTTAAAAAACAGGAGTGCTTAAGTTAGAAAAGAAAAAGGCAATCAGATAAACCCTAATGTCACTAAACATAAAAAAAAGCCAATGAAATAGATCAATAGATTTATAAGCGTGAAAACTTCTAAGCAAGTGGCAACTCATTAGAGTCATCAGTGCTACAAATAAACACATATACAAGTAAATAAATAAGAGGAAAGCTTTAGTACGTGTGAAAACTAACACCATAGCCAAGTTGTTGTCCCAGAATATTGTTGGGTTAGAAACTCTCCAGTGTTCACTGTGAAGGTGACATTCTTATCAATGGACTCTTCCTTATTAAAGGCTGGATGATCTACATGAGTCCATGAACAAGAAGAAATCATTCATGGAAAATCAAACCAAGTTCCTGTCAGAGACATGAGCTGTCCATGGCAGCTGTAATCTGATACTTCTGCCAGAACTCCAGGCCATCATTGCTATGGTGATTTCTGGCAGGGCCAAGGTGGCAGCTTCAAATTAGAATGATTATTTGGCATCAGGATGTATTTGCAATTAATGTGTCTAGGTAGGAAGGGCCCCATATTTCAGCATACAGATTTTTCATTTGCTTCCAAATTCACTTCAGGATCCTTGAGCTTTATTATTAAGAATAACTTTAATAAATCTATGTAGAAAATATCAAAATGCTTTTTGGTTATATAATATTGGTAACCAGTATAACTTTGTATTTTTCCTGTATACTTTTTAGACTATTCTAGCAATACAATTCTTGGAAATATAATCCACCCAGTTCTGAATTAGGTAATACCAATTCAATCAGAATATAATTATAAAACCTCCAATCACCTAATGTATCTTCTTTTCCATGGAATGTAATTGATGCTTAGTTTGCTTCTTAGAAATGCTTTATCTGGTATAAGTATTTGGCTGCAACAAACATTAGCTGACTTTGACTAATGAAATAACTTTGTTGGAAGGACATGGAATAGTTCACCTCTTGGTCAGAGAATGGTAGGGATATTAACTGACATTTCCAGCAACATGTAAAGGTATAGTTCCCCAAAGCAAATTCAGAATCTTCTCACAAGATGAAGGATAATTGGAGACATCACAAACAAAAATCATCAGATGCTCATCTCAAAATAAGGGTGCTATGCCTTTGGCATCAACTCTCTTAGAAGAGAATGAGTTTCTTATATTTGGAAAGGAAAGATCTCATTAAGAGAGGGGATTCCAGCATAGAATTAAAAATTGAACTAGAAATTTTCTGAATTATAGAAAACGGAAAAGAGGATAGACAAATAAGACCATGGGAATAACTAATTTGTGGAATTTCAAACTAAATATGAATATACAAAAATGAGGGGACTGACTCACTTGGATTTATCTTAGCAAATTATCCTGTCATTTTCATAGCAGCACCATATGTTTTCTTTATCACATTTACAATTTAACATTTATTTGAATAATTATGTGACATACCTGTGTCCTCCATCAGATTTCAAGCTACAAGAGGTCAGGAACACAATCAAATTTTGTGCAGCATCATTACCTGAGCATCTAGCACAATATGGGATGCTTATAAGTATGTATTAAATGATGAAATAAAATATTTCTAGAAAAATGTCAGTATGTCACCCCTACTGTACCACAGAAGAAAATAACTCTATATAATAAGATTCATTACTATGAAAAATGCAATTCGTAAGTTAGAGGCAGAGCCAGTCTACTAACTATGATAGCTTTTTTGTGTGTGTTCCTTATGACACAAACATATATTTTAATCAGTATCTTAGGACCTGGTACTGCATCAAAGTGTTTGTTTCCCCAATGGCAAAATGTACTACTTAATGTTTGCCACTGACAGGATCCTCAAAATTTCCCTATTGAGTTGCCTATGCAAATCCTCTCTCATAAATCTCCACAATCTCCACAATCCACTAGTCAAATTATGTTTGCCTGGTGTTTCTCTGTAAATCCTGCAAGTCTTTCTGTATACTGTCCCCCAAACTGATGGGAAGTTAATCATTCTGTAATTGCTTGCTATTTCATGTCCCTATCATGAGTAATGTTGCCATGTTCTTGTCCTCAAACACCTGATTCTTACATAGCCAACTCCTAGAGCCAAAAGGAGCAAAGACAGAAACTGATTGTTGCACAACGTAAAATGGCAGAATTCTCTCACATAAAAGTCGGCTAGTGAAAAGGCAAGAAATGAGCTAAACAATGCATTGCCTTGATACATATTTATTAAATATAGAAAATTAAACTTGCATAGGAGAGAACAGGCTTTTTTAATGTGTTAAAGATTCAATTGTTTTTGTCTTTTGCCCTTTTCCTCTTCCTCAAGGACGTAAAGTGTTTCTCTGCAGTGTCTTTTAGAAGGCAATTAATTAGGCATTCATTACGGATCTCCCAAAGATATATTTCTTTTTCAAAACGAATCCTTACTTTAGAAAATATTTGGTAATTTAAACAATGGACCAAATATTCAAGTTCTAGCTTAAACATAGATATACCTATGCAAAGCACATGAGCAAATGGTAAGTTATGATGCATATGCTTAAAATACAGTAAAATCATACACAAATATGAAGTCATAATCTTGGAAAATCACCAAAATATTGATTTTTAACTTTTAAAAAAAACAAGGAAGACATTTTCTCCTTTAAAATAACAATTATAAATACAGGGCACTTATTTATCTAACTCCTCTTTGTTAGTGCTCTTAAATGATCTGTAATTGAACAAGATTCATGCCATGATACTTACCCCAAGGCCATTTTTATTTGACTTCATTTTGAGTTATAGTGAAGTTAGGAGAAAAAGGTGTAGCCAGAGAGAAAGACTATGAATATATTTGTATCTGTGATTTTAGAAGCATATCAGCCACACAATTTGTGCTCTGAACTCTAATTGTTAAGAATCTATACCATGTTGTAAACAAATAGATGAAACCTATGGGTCAGATTTTCTTCTATGAAGCTCAATCATTATGCACATGGAAAGTGCAAGGTTTTAGATCCTATATATATTTCAGATACTTTAATGTGTTGATTCAGCCTTAATGGCAGGGCCTGGGATTTTGTTCTCACTTTAGTACAGCCAGCTAGGATTTTAGTGTTTATAGAAATAAAACATAAAAAAGTAATATTTCCCATGACAAACATCAGAGACTTGGATGCTTACAAGTTCAAATTTTTAAACATTTTTAAAATACTTTAACAATTTTTGTAAAACAGCTTTAACTTCTGAATAATGAAAATCTTACTCAGAAATGACTGGTACATTTTTAATGTACGCACAAGAAAAACCTTTTTTTTTTTTTTTGCAATATTGTAAGAGAAAGAAAAAGCCAATTTTTAGTGTGTAAGAATGCTAAATTTAAGACAATTATTTGGTGCAACTTATTTGCATTTGTGTATCTTATAGGACCTCCTGGTTTCTGCCAAACTTGACTATTGAAGCAAAAATAATAAA